TGGAGGTCAGCAGAATATCTGATGTAAGTATCCATCCAGGGGCAGCTAGGTGGCCCCGTAGATAGAGCACTGGCCCTGAAGTCAGGTAGGACCTGAGTTCAAATTTGGCCTCACACCAAACACTTGACACAAGCTGAGTGACCCTGGGGAAGTCACTTAACTCCAAGTGCCTAAAAAATTTTTTTTAAAAGTATCCATCCAGTCTTTCCCTGCAGCCCTCCAATAACAGGTAACTCACTCCTTCCCAAGGCAGCCTAGTCTACTTTGGAACACCTCAGTGTAAGGTCCAGCTGGTTATCAAACCTAACTTTCCTTTGGAATGTCCTCTTCGCTTCTAGCTCCATCTCTTGGGGCCGAACCGACTATGTCAAGTTCCTCTTCAGTGTCCAATACTTAGAGGCAACCTGTGTCTTTACTCCTATGACAGGTGGACGTACTGGATGGCTTAAAATCCCTGAGTCTAAGGAAATGCCCAGTAAATGATGCTGGCTTTGGAGTCAAAAGGACTGGGTCCATATCCTGCTCCTGCAGCTTACTAGCTGGGCACCCTGAGGCACATCACTTAGGCTGCATGTAGTAGGCATTTAATAAATGCTTACTGACTGACAGAGCCTCAGTGTCTACATCTTTAAGTTTTACAAAGAACTTTACGAATATTATCTCATTGGATCCTCACAACTACCCTGGGAGGTAGGTGCTGTGAACAGCCTCATTTAACAGATGAGGAAACTAAGGCAGACAGCAGGTAAGTGACCTGCCTGGCTAATGAGTGTCTGAGGTTGGATTTGAACTTGGATCTTCCTGACTCCGGGTCTAGCACTCTATGTACTGTATTTGCCTATCATTATTTCTCCTCCTCCTCTTCTCCTTCTCTTCCTCTTCCATCTCCTCTTCCTCCTCCTCCTGTTCTTCTCCCCTCCCTGGCCAAGTCATTTAACCTCTGCCTGCCTCAGTTCACTGACATGTATAAATGAGGTTAATAACAGCACCTACTTCCCTGGGGAGTTAGGAGGATCAAATCAGATAACATTTGCAAAGTGCTTTGTGAATCATAAGGTGCTATATAGATGCTAGCTAATATTATTATAGTTGTTATTAACCCCACTTTTACTTACATTCCCTGAGAGTACACTTTAAAAAACAACCACAAAAGAGCTGTAAGTACAAAGTTTGTCATAGCAACTTTATGGGCAATCCCATGCAATTGTAAACAACCTGAATGTCTAAGGACAGGGGCGGAGTCAGATCGGACTACATAATGTAATAGAATCCTTTGGGTAAATAAGATGGCCGAGTATAAGGGACACAGCAGTTTGGGTCCCTCTATAATATTGTGCAAAGGTGGGGGGGGGAGCAGACCCAGAAGAATAGGATTCACACAAAGCAAATGCTAGCTCAAAAGAAGAAAAGTTAAGGAGAATGAATAGACAAATAGCCCAAGGAGGGCTTAGTGGGGGACTTTCTAATTTTGATTCATGCCTTGAAATGATTGAATTTAGATAGAAATAGGTGCTGGCCAATTTTATAATTGGCTGTATTGATGTATTTTTTATTAAAAACTGTCCTGAGATAAGTCACTCTCCTGCTATTATTTTTCGATGTTTAATGTTTGAAGAATAACTGCACAGATTGATAACTTGTTTGTGGTTGAATAAACCTGTGGTCAGCTCATTCTCCATAGGTTTATTCAAATTATCCTCTGTTCATCTCCAGCAGCAGACAGGACCACAGGGAAGACAGGTGTCTCTTCTTGGTCCCGTGACGTGGATTTCTTCAGCCAGATCTCTGTCTTTGAGTACAAGCCCTGGGAACTGACGAGAGAGCCGTCCCCTAAGCAACAGCCTACTAAAGGCTGGAGAAGCTCAGTGGCAGGTTGGCTCGGGAGGGATGGGTTTTCTGCCTGTAGCCAAACACAAGGCAGTGTAGAATGGCCGGAGCAATGGGCCTAGTGTCGAAGGACCTGGGTTTGAATTCTGGCACTGCCACTTACTGTTCTGGTCACTCTAGGCAAGTCACTTGGCCTCAACTGAGATAACATGTACAAAGCTTTGAAAATTATAAAATGCTATATAAATGCTAACCACCATTATCATTAATAATATTAATAAAATAGAGAATCGGACTAAATGGTCACTAATACCCCCTTCCAGCTCTTGATTGATGACATTAAAAATCTTTATGAAATCAATGATAACAATAAGGCAAAGTGGGGGGATTTGTGCTCTCAAAAACGCATTTCACGGCTGCTTTTAAATTTTATTTTAAGCAAACTTAAAGGCTTCATTCTTTTTAAAATACTAAAATCTCAGAAAGGGAAGATATGTCAGGGACCGGCCAGTCCCAGACCTCCCTGACCAGTAATACCCTCTACAACATCGCCGACAAGTGGCCACCCAGCCACATCTTGAGGGGGAAAGCCCTATACCTGAACAAAAACATCTTTCATGTCTTTGGTTACAAAATTTTAAAATCTTCATAGGAAAGCTGGTCCCATCCACCCACTCACTCCTCCACTGAGTTTACTTTTGATTCTGATGCTTTATTTTTTTGCCCATGGAACACAGACTGAGTCATACTTTCTTTCCTGGTCCTTTCCCATTAACTGTGATGTTTGGATCACTTAAAATCAAACATTAAAAAGGGCAGGATGGAACTTTTAATAACACCAAATAAAATGGTCTCATTAAATGTTTCAGTGAAAATGCGGTAAATTCTTTTCCAGATCCAGTTAGGAGGACTTACCCACTGATCAGGCAGGGGGTCTTGGGGCAGTGCTCCCACATAGGTTGGGTTTTAAAAAGCAACATTTGGACCTCCAGCAATGGTCAGTAATAAACACCCAGAAACTTGCAAGGCAAGTCCAGGACGGTTCTGAACAAAGTTGTTTCAAGAGAACTGACTTTGGCAGGAGCCCTAAACCTTCCCTCATTAGAAGATGGCAACAGTGTGTCCCTTGGGTAACTCAATGGAGGTTTCTGACTGTTTTTTTTCTCTTTTAGAATAAATGTAAATATTTTAATAAAAAATACGTCAATACAGCCAATTATAAAATTGGCCAGCACCTATTTCTATCTAAATTCAATCATTTCAAGGCATGAATCAAAATTAGAAAGTCCCCCACTAAGCCCTCCTTGGGCTATTTGTCTATTCATTCTCCTTAACTTTTCTTCTTTTGAGCTAGCATTTGCTTTGTGTGAATCCTATTCTTCTGGGTCTGCTCCCCCCTCCCACCTTTGCACAATATTATAGAGGGACCCAAACTGCTGTGTCCCTTATACTGGGCCATCTTATTTACCCAAAGGATTCTATTACATTATGTAGTCCGATCTGACTCCGCCCCTGTCCTTAGACATTCAGGTTGTTTACAATTGCATGGGATTGCCCATAAAGTTGCTATGACAAACTTTGTACTTACAGCTCTTTTGTGGTTGTTTTTTAAAGTGTACTCTCAGGGAATGTAAGTAAAAGTGGGGTTAATAACAACTATAATAATATTAGCTAGCATCTATATAGCACCTTATGATTCACAAAGCACTTTGCAAATGTTATCTGATTTGATCCTCCTAACTCCCCAGGGAAGTAGGTGCTGTTATTAACCTCATTTATACATGTCAGTGAACTGAGGCAGGCAGAGGTTAAATGACTTGGCCAGGGTCACACAGCTAGTAAGTGTCCAAGGCCAGATTTGAACTTGGGAATTAATGGATCAAAGGGCTTGTTTTTTGGTTAACTTTTACTGTGTATTGCCAGTATTGAGCCTCAGTTTCTTTGGCTGTAAAATGCCTTTTCTGTGAGCATTAGCTACTCACTAGAAGTGAGCAAAGTGCTTGAGAACCATTTCAGCATTTCAGCTACACAGCATGCTGCATTCATCTACTTTTACAGACAGGAAATTAGGGCCTATCAGGGTCGGATTAAGGGCAGTCATTCCCACTGGGGTCACTTTTGACTGCAGATCCCAAGAAGGGCAGCTGAGGACCTCACTGCTAGGATCCAATTGCATTATGAGAATTTTTTTCCTTTTGGACTCGGCCACAGTAAGTATAAAAATGTCGTCTTGTCACTAAACTGAAGACTTCATTCTAAAACTTCTCAGAAGCTTTCTTTCCCATCCACCACTGGAGGGAAAATTAAATTCGGAGCTGGGTCCTCCCACTTGCTCCTTCAACAATGAGTCCCATTCAAGCCAGGGGTTGGGCGCCCGCGGTGCCAGGGTTCCTTCTGAAGGGTGCAGAGGTGCTTGTGGCAACTTTGTAACTCAGGAAAGAACAGAGGTTGAACATTTCCACGTGATTAATTCTGAGCTTTTCCAAGCGCCATGCTTTGCAAAAGTGGACGGCTACGAGCAAGGACAGCCTTCCATGAGCGTACGCTGCCCCAAATCCTAGAGCTAAACCCTTGCCCGGATTGAGGCTGCGGCGGCCCTGGCCAGGCTTGCAAAGCCTTGGGCACATGGGCGTGCACTGGGAGCCAGCTTTCAACGCGCGCCCCTTCCTAAGTAAAGCCGACCAAAAGTGCAGAGCAGGCCAAAAAGCCCACCAGAAACACCAGCCCGGGGCGGATAGGGGGTACAAGGTCAACTGCCTTGATTGTCCTAAGGAAGGCTACGGGGGTCCTTCCATGCCCAGCCCGCGGCCCAGGTGGCTGCAATCCCGGGGCAGGCGGGCCTGTCAGTGGGGCAGAGCGGGACATCCCCCTAGCACTTCTCCCGCGCAGAAAGCTGATCGGACCGCTCCACTGCCGCCCCACACTACAGGGGGGAGGCCGCCACCTCGGCCCGGCCAGCCGCCGCCCGCGCGCGGCCGCGGCCCCTCCCTCGCGCCCCCGGCCAAGACGAGCGTGAAAGTCCACGGCTGTGAGGCCGGGCGCCACGCGCGGGGCTCGGGGCTGGCCCGCAGCGGGCCAGAGTTTGGCGGCCTCTCGGGCGTTTCCCCCCCACGGCTGGGAGATGAGTGCGATCGCTCTTTGCCCCGCGCCGTAGCCCGCCCGCCGCTCGGCGTTCTACATTCGAACGTCGGCGGACAGTCTGGGCTCCCTTTGATACTTTGTAGCCCGTGCGCCCGGGCCCGGACGTTCTAGAACGCCGCGCTGCGGCTCCGACTCTGCGGCGGTAGCGACTGAGGCGCGCGCCACAGCCCGGCCCGGGCTTTTAACGACATGGAGCTGGCGGCTGCCGCTAAGGTGAGGCTCTGGGCACTTGCAGCCTGAATACACACATGGCCCCGTGCTCCCTCCCTCCTTCCCTCTCTCCCTCCATGCCTTCTCCCGGTTTGCTCCTGGAGCTTGCCTTGCCACGAGCTTTCCCAACCGATGCAGATTTGTTTTTCACATTTTGCACTTTGGCCCGCGCGCGTTTGTGTCCGTGGGTAGGAACTTGCTTAATTGGAAGGCTCGCCCTTAGAGATAGTTCCCATGCTAGCAGCTCCTGGATTTAGAATTTAGAGCTGAAAGGAAGGGGCTTGGTCTCTGTGATTCCAGGGGGACCCTCCCCATCCGCCCAACTGTTGCTTAAGATTGCCTAGGAGAGATTTTGTTGCTTTGGGATCCTAGGGAGGTTTCTCAGATGCCTCCTTACGCTGGGATGGCGTCTCCGACTCTACCCGCTCTGTGGAACTCTATATTCTAGGAAGAAAAATGTAATTGGAAAAGAAAGGCGAGGAACCGAGCTAGCTCAAATGTGGTCCCGGAGGAGCGAAGCGATTGTTTGTAAACTTTTAAAAATTAAAAGGGCTGGAGCGGGAAGGAAGAGGTTGAGGGCTTGCTGTGTGACCCCAGGGATGCTTGGAGGAGGAGAGGAGGCTGTGGCGGGGCCGCACGGCTTGGGGCCCCTCGGACCTGCGAGCTCGGGTTTACCTTCCGACTTCGGATGTGTTTTCCCCCAGTTGCTATGTTATGGGCCCGGGAGCGGGGGAATGAGGAAGGTGGGGCACGGAATTGAGGTGCCCCAAGTTAGCACAGTGACCCAGTGTTGAGTGCTTGGAATGCTCAGCCAGTGTTGACTTTGCTGAAGTACTTCCCTGGCCGAACACCAAACCCCAACTTGGTGGGGTGGGGGTGGGGGTGGGGGGAAGATTCCAGTGGAATAGTTGCTGTTCGTGACATTATTTAATCAAACCGCCAGAAAGTTTATATTTTAACTCTGTGGGCAAGCATATCTTTTGAGGTGTATTTGGTGTTTTAGAAACTTTTTAAATGAGGGGAAGAAATAAAAACAAGAAAAATACATATTATTTGTCTCGGCTGGACGGAGGAAGCCAGAATTGCAAGTAGAGAGCTCCTTGTGTGAAACCTGGCTGCCGTAGTGATGCTTCTGGCCTGAGCTCCGTAGGGACATTCAAGGGGTCGGTGAGTCACTCAGGATCCTGCAGGCTTAGCAGGGGAAGGCACTGGAAGGGTCTTGCTCGGACCCTGAACCCCAGAGGGAGCTGGAAAGCTTTTGGGGCCAGGGGACCTGGCTTCTGATTTTTAGTCTGCATCTTTAGGTCTACCCCGCCTTTGACAAGTCTCTTCCCTCCCTCCTGTCTGTTTCCTCAGCCCCCCAAATGGAGGAGTTCATAGAATCACAAATATGGAGCTAAAGAGATGTTAGACGCCATCCACTCCAGCCCCTCCACTTCTCCGATGAGGAAATTGTGATGCAGCAAAGTGACCGAATGTGAGGGCTCTTCCTGCCCAGAATCTATGAATCTAACTGTGCGAGGAGTGTTTATTAATCTGTGGTGTGTCAGGGCTGAGCCAAGTTCTGAGGGCACACAGACATGATCATAGTACCTGCCCTCAAGGAGCTTGCCTTCTGGGTAAAACTAGACAGAAACATAGGCACACTGCTTGACCCAGCAAGCGTTTAATAATTTTATTTTAATTCATGAACTTATAATTCGCTTTTAGGCAAAACCTGGGAGTCACATTATCTGAAGATAGTATATAGTATACGGGGAAATAGGGGGGCAGCTGAATTGGAGATTGGATTGTACTCTAAGATAGTGAGAAAACCTGTAATCCTCCCTTTTTCTTCCCCTTTTTTTCTCCTCCTCCTCTTCTCCTCCCTTTCCCCCCTCTTCTTCCCTTCCCCTTCCTTTCCTCCCTCTTCCCTGTCGTTCCCCTTTCCCCTGTCCCCCATCCTCTCCATCCTTCCTCTCTCAAATATATCAAATAAACTTTTTGCTGTGTTGAGTTTGATGCACAGATCCCAGCCACATGCTCTTTACCAATTGGAACAAATGGCCATATTGTAAGATCAGGTGTTTTAAAGAACTAACGGGCAGCCCAGATTAAGGTGATTTTTCTAGTGGAAATGTGCCCTGCTTATTTTTTCAGTGAAAGCCACTTATGCTTTGCAATTTCAGTGAGTGGAGGATGGCTCAGGGGGCTGGGACAAAGATGGTAACCCTCAGGGACCGTGTCAGGAGGGGCGGCCAGTAGATGGGTGAAGCTCCTCCCCTCTGTACTCTAGTGCGACCTCAGTTTTCTTCTCTGTAAAATGAATGGACTTCAGGGTCCCTTCCAGCTGTGATTCAGATTCCTTTCCTGCATGGGTCAGGCTGGAGACCAGTGGTCACCCTTCCAACTCTCAAATTCGGTGATTGTATTTGAATAAAACTAGAATAAGATTTGTGGAAAGAAAGGTCAGTTACCACAGCCGGGCCAGCGCTGAGCTCAAGTGAGCCCGGGGTTTCTGTTTGGTGGAACATAAGCTCTGTGAGGGCATGGCAGCTTGTCATTTTTCACTTTGTCCTGAGGGCATAGTGCAGCCCTTCAGAGCTCATTCAAAAGAGGGAAGATGCAGCTTCCTACAGAATCAAAGAGCTGAGAGAAGAAAAACAGAGCTAGTTCTGGGGGTTGGGAAGAGGAAGGAGAAAACACTTCTGCCCTGGAATCCCACCAGTTAATGAGGGATTGGATTAGAAATCCATGGGATGGAGGATTGCTCTGCCCCAGCCCCCTCTGTGGTCTCTGCCCCCCGCCTTTATGGTATGATGGTGACCTTAGCGCAAGCCTCCCCAAAGGCAGCTGAGGTCCTGAGGGGAGAGATACCAGTTTGTAGGGCCTAGGACTTGGAGTTGGAAAGACCATAGAATGCTGGAGGCTGCTAGGTGGCTCAGTGGATAGAGCGCTGAGCCTGGAAGAAGGAAGCCCTGAGTTCAAATCCAGCGTCAGATGCTCACTAGCTATGTGACCTTGGGCAGGTCACTTCACTCTGTTTGCCTTAATCCACTGGAGGAGGAAATGCCAGACCACCCCTATATGTTTGCCAGGAAAACCCCACGGACAGTGTGGCCCCACGGGGCCACAGAGTTGGACACAGCTGGCCCACAACCTAGTGTCTTTCTGTCACCTGGCTGTTACTCTGCACACCTAATCTTAGAAGGTACCTGAGGAATTCATGCTTGTTTGGAATTCTGGACCTGTCTCCCTCCCAGGCGTGGGGATCTCTGGTTTTGACCTTGAGGCTTGTGGCTTCTCCTACGCAAAAGCACTGATAGGGTGAGGAATCCCCTAGGTACCACAAGTGACCCACATTTCACTTAGCCTGGGGACTGCTCCTGGCTCTCCGTGAACGCTACAGTTTTTATTGCTCCAGCTACAAATCTGGGTGAAGAAAGGAAGCAGCTTCTGGATTTAGAGAAACTGGTTTTGACTCTTCGTTCCACCACTTACGAATACCTCATGCACTTAAACAAGTCACTTACATTCTCTGTGCCTCAGTTGCCACATCTGTAAAATAAGAGGTTCAGACTAGACAACTCTAAGGGCCTTTCTTGCCCTAGGTAGAGTAAGATGAGTTGTGGACATTAGCCGCAGTTAGTGAAAGGAGAGCTTGGGGATGTGCCCAGAAGCTAGCACTGGCCTTGCCATCTTGGAGCTGCGTTTTCTAGAATTTTCTTTAAAATCTAATTTAGTTCCATTAGGCACCTGTCACGTGCCAGGCACTGGGCTAAGGGGCAGGGATGAAAAAGAAAAATACATTCTACTGGGGATTGTGGGGTTAGAGAATGTGTGTGCACAGGTCAGCAAATCTGGGGGAAAAACAGAAGCAGGTACACTACAGAAAGGGAGCAGTTGGGGATCAGGACACAGGACCTTCTGAGATGAAGATTGGAGGAACTCGGGGAGTCCAAGAGGAAATGACCTGGAGGTATGGGGGGCAGCCTGCACGTAGGCTAGGCACCAAGCTGAACGTGGGGCCAGTCTGGCTGGAAAGGGGAGTGATAGGAAAGAAGTCTGGAAGGGCAGGAGGGGTCGGGTGGCCCAGAACCATTCCCTCAGAGCTCAGGTTCAGGATTTGGCTTTCCAGGAATGTCAGGGGTAGTTTGTAACGGTGACTTCGCCTGTGGAACTTGGGAAACCCAGAGGAGGTGGTGATTTGTACCATTACCCTCCAAAGAAGTTTTTTTTTTTTAAAGAAAAGGCTGGAAGACCATCCTTTTTCTACCTGTTTTCTAAAGGCCAACCAAGTCCTGAGTTTATATCCAGCCTCAGACACTTCCTGGCTGTGTGACCTTGGGTAAGTCACTTCCTTGATGTTTGCCTCAGTTTCCTCATCTGTTAAATGGGGATAACAATACTACCTGTCTCTCAAGCTTGTTATGAGGATCAAATGAGATAATAATTGTAAATCGCTTAGCACAATGTAGGCACACAGTTCTTAGCACATAGTAGGTGCTACATAAATGCTTATTCCCTTCCTTTCCATTGGAAAAATATTTATTAAGGGCCTACAACGTTGTGCTAGGTACTGGGGATAGAATCAGACGTGCTCGCGAGGGGCTTACAAGTGTTTGTGAGGCCCTTCCTTTGGGCCAACAGCTTTTCTGAGGGTGCACAACCAGGAGACCACCCTGCTTTCAGCTGTTTGCTGCTGGGCCCCAGGCAAACAATGAAATCTCAGCATTCTTGGGTAAATGTTCCTCGAGCTTTGGGAGATGGCAGAGATTTTGTGTAGGATTTGAGGGATGTGGTAGTGACTGAGTTTCACTGACCAGCTAACAGTCACATCACCCTGAGAAGGTGTTTTTAAAGTAATAAACTCATCTTCCTGACTCCCAGATCCACTCTCTGTCCCCTTCACTACCTACTTGTGGCAGGTGGCTGAGGATACCCTGGATACATTCATTCTAAGATCATCTGTTTGGAGCTGAAGGGACCTTAGAGGATATCTCATCATTATTTTACAGGAGAGG